GTCCTCCTCAGACTCACTCTCGGATGTGCTGCATAGGGGTAGGTTAGCTGCAGGGGGACGGCTGTCCACATTGGAGGGCGGCTTTGGTCCAGCACCTTCGTTCTGCCCGGTTGCCCTGTTGTGGCCCATCTCATAAGGGGTGCCTACCAATTCCCCAACAGGGAGCAAAAGGTTTCTATGCACTGTCTTTGTCTGCCCTTGACCCTCTTCAGGTTTGAGCTTATAGACCGGCAGGTGTCCTAGCTTTTCCATCACCAAGTAAGGTATTGCCTTCCATCTATCAGCTATCTTGTGTTTGCCAGCAATACCCAAATTTCGCAGCAGGACTCTGTCCCCCAGCTGGAGCTCTTGCAAATGTACCCTAGAGTCATATCGATGTTTGTTGGTACAGGTCTGCGTTCTTCCGAGCTGCAGATGTAGCTAAGTGATAAGCATCCCACAGCTTTTCTCTTAGTCGGGATACATATTGCTGATGAGTTTCATAGCTATCTCCATCCTCTGATACAGCAAAGCACAGGTCTATGGGTAATCTTGGTTCTCGCCCAAACATCAAGAGATATGGGGTGACTCCCGTAGCGTCGTTCTTTGTGGCGTTGTAGGCGTGCACCAGAAATGCGACATGTTGGCTCCAGGTTGCCTTCTGCTCTGGCCGCAGAGTCCCCAACATATCTAATAGGGTCCGGTTGAACCTCTCTGGCTGAGGATCACCTTGCGGGTGATAAGGCGTTGTTCTAGACTTTTTAATCCCCGCTATCCTCAACACCTCCTTCAGAAGGTGACTCTCAAAGTCCCGCCCCTGATCCGAGTATATCCGAGCTGGGAATCCATAACTGAGAAATATTTTTCCCACAGTACTCAAGTGACAGTGGTGGCCCTCTGATCACGTGTGGGATATGCCTGCGCATATCGCGTATAATGGTCAGTCACTACTAGAATGTTCCCAATAGTCCTCTTGTCTACTTCTAAAGACAAGAAATCAATGCATACCAGCTCCAGAGGTTTGTTTTTGGTGATGTTCTTCAGATATGCAGCCCTCGTGGTCAGAGTTTTCCTTTGAACACATCGAGCGCAGGTCTCACATTTCCTGCGAACATCTTCAGCCATCCGGGGCCAATAGAATCTACTACGAATAAATTCCAGGGTCCTCTCCATCCCTAAATGTCCAAAGTCATCATGCAGGGCCCTCATGGCCAGGGCTCTGTACTCTTTTGGCAGCAATAGTTGAGTCCGTTGCTTTTGTAAAGGATCTGTGATTACTCGGTGTAGCACTCCCTGAATCAGTTTTAGTTTGGTCCATTCTCTCAATAGTAGTTTACCCTCCGGGTTAGGTGGGACAACCGCAGCTGGGCTTCGCCCCTCCCTTTTGGCAAGTAGAGTATCACGAATGTCAATATCTTGCAGCTGGGCTTCCTGCCAGTCAGCTGCATTGAGCATGGGCAAAGGAGATTGGTCCAATGCAATATAGTTCACTGAAGCAGAAGGCACGCATTCAGGGGGCAGGCCCAAAGCTTCTACTGCACATCCATGAAGGCTCTCATGGGCCTCTGGCTCTCGGCGACTCACACTGCAAATAGCTCTCATTCCATCTGTGGGTATCACAGCAACTCCTGGTGCCTGTGGATGCCTGGACAATGCATCTGCATCTACATTGCTTCTCCCTGATCGGTATTGAATGCTGAAGTCATAGCTAGCCAAAGCGGCCACCTATCTTTGCCCTTTAGCATCCAGCTTAGCGCTTGTTAATACATAGGTCAGTGGGTTGTTGTCTGTCCACACCTGGAACTGAGCACCATACAAGTAGTCTCGAAATTTCTCAGTGATGGCCCATTTCAAGGCCAAGAACTCCAGCTTGTGAGTGGGATAGCGAGTTTCACTATCAGACAGTCCTCGGCTGGCAAAGGCTACAGGTTTACATTTGCCTTCCACCTCCTGGTACAGTACTGCTACCAGACCCTCCAAACTGGCATCAGTATGCAGGATAAACGGCTTGCTTGGGTCAGCAAAGACTAGGACCGGAGCATGAGTTAGGCAAGTAATGATTTCTCGAAAAGCCCTTTCACATCTCTCATCCCACCTTGGCCCAAATTATTCGAAAGGGCCATAGTGTCTCTGCACAGGAGGCTTTGGGGACCTCCCCTTATTCTTGGTCTTAGATTTGTTCTTGCTGGACTGGTATCCCTGGTAAGATCATTCAGAGGTTTTACAATTGTAGCATAGTTTTTCACAAATCTGCGGTAATAGCCACTAAACCCAAGAAAGGTCTTGAGTTCTCTGTAGTTACTTGGACATGGCCATGTAGTGAGTGCTTCTATTTTATCAGGATCCGTACTCATACCTTTTTGGGACACGATGTGACCCACATACTTCACTGAGGTCCTGCAGAACTGGCATTTGTCAGTCGAAAGCTTCAAACCATAATCCTTCAACCTATCAAGCACTTTAAGAAGTCTTTCTTCATGCTCCTCCAAGGTTCTTCCGAACACAATCAGGTCATCCAAATAAACTAACACTTGCAGTAAATTCATGTCTCCCACAACTTTCTCCATAAGACGTTGAAATGTAGCAGGTGCTCCAGAAATCCCTTGGGGCATGCGTTTGAACTGATAAAACTCTAATGGGCAGATGAAAGCTGTCTTCTCCTTATCTTCTTCACCCAGAGGGATCTGGTAGTATCCACTCTGAAGATCCAACACAGAGAACCACTGGCTTGCCAGCAAACAGTCTAAGGCATCTTGGACTCGGGGCATTGTGTACTGGTCAACCCACAGTACGGCGGTTTAGGGTGCAGTAATCAATACACATCCGGATTTTCCCATTCTTTTTACGGACCACCACAATGGATGAGGCGTATGGGCTGCAGGACTCTGTAATGATGCCATTCGCAGCCAGTTCCTGAAGCTGTTGTCGCACATCTTCCATCTCGGAGAGAGCAATCCTCCTAGATCTCTCCCTGAAAGGTCAAGAGTGATGTAGTCTGATGTTGTGCTCTACTCCTTTTGCACATTCCACATCCCACTCATGCAATGAGAACACCTTGGATCTTTCACAAAGTTTCCTCCTCAGGCAATCTTTCCACTCCTTGGACAATGGTGAATCTCCAAAGTCAAACTTTGCTGGGTCTATTGTCGGAACTTGAGTCTCACACTGGGGTTTTACAATTGATTCAGGCTCGAAGAGGTCTGCTATCTTTTGTCCTTGCTTCACAACAACATCTCAACTTGTTTCATTAGCAATCAGTATAGTCACCTTTTCCTGGGCTTCAGCAGGTAGGGTTATGACTTCACTGGGGACCAGCACTCCTTCCGGGAGCTCTCCTTCAACCGGCTGCTCTACCATTGCTAATGCCCCTTTACTGCCTTTCAGCCTGGTACACATGACAAGCACTTCTTGCTCCATCCTTGCAGGCACAACTAAGGGGGTTGTGCCCATGTACTTCAGTGCCCCAATCGGTAGCTCAGATGTCTCCTTTTTAGCGCTCTCAATCTTCCTATAGGCTTCAGCACAAAGCGTATGGATCATCAGGGTATTCAGGTACTGGTCCCCAGCCCGTCGTATGCAGTAATCTGCAAGCACCTTGAAGAGACTGGAGTTGGTCCCTATCAGCACAGACACAGGGCATATTAAGGCAGCTGTGTCTACCTCTTCCCTTAACCCAGCAACCTCCTCTGGGAATTCCAGGTGCACTATGACATACCCTTGCTAGGGGTATTCATCCATGCTGAGGCCACACAGACCAATGCCAGTCAGTGGCTGTATAGGCAGGTGCCTAAGCATCTGTTGGTAGAATGACTGAAATATAATAGTCACTTGAGATCCAGTGTCAAGCATTGCTTCACACTCCGCCCCTTCAATCCTCACTGTGACCTCTGCTCGAGTCCCTATCAGTCCTGCGGGGATCCCAGCTGGACGGTCTTTTCTGGGGGAATCTTCAAATCCTGCAGGCCTGGGTGGTCCCCGTCCCCAGACCCTCTGGCAGCTACCGGATCTCTCCCAACTGATCCTCAGCTTTCCATACACTACGGAGGGGTTTTCTTCATTATGGCACTTGGCAGCACTGTGCCCATCCTGACCACATCGGTAGCAGAAGAATTGTCCTTTCCACCTTCGCCTGGGTGGGACGGTAGCTCTAAATGCTGACTTCTCCATCGCCACAGTCTGAGGCTCCTTATTCCTGGAAATCTTAGCTCAGTCAATGGTGCTTTGCAGCTCAGCTATCCGTTCTGTCAGGACCTACATTTGTTGGGCAAGTTCCTCTGTGGTGCTCACCATCAGTACACTGGCCATTTGCAGTGGTGTTGTGCTGGCTGGCTCCAATGTTTGAGCTTCCCAAAACTCGCTGGCAGCCTGCCTTTCTTCCTCTTCCCTGACCTCCTTTATCAGCTGGGAGTAACTTGGGGGATGTTCCTGCCGTTCTCTTAGCCAGAGATGAAGTAGAATCGGGTTCTGATACGGAGTCCCTCTTACAACTTGAGCCAGTCTGGTCTGATCCATCTGCTCAGCAGTCACTGCTCCCCTCATGACAGCTCTCTGAAGCAGTCTCTCCAGGCTCTGTATATAGGCTGAAATCTTCTCGCCCCTTTGCTGTCAGGAATTAAGGAACTTTCAGTAACTGTCTTCAGGGCCCTCTACGCTCCCAAAGGTAGGATCAAGGGCCTCTAGGCAGTCCTTCACACTGACCCCAGAGTCAATGAGCTTCAGGGTGCGAATCACATCTAATGCTGGGCCACTAAGGTTCTCTATTAGACATCTTCACTTTTCTGCAGCATTTCAGTGCTATGCTCCAACCAGGGTTCAAACTCGTCTTCCCCAGCAAATAACCTTAATTTACAACAATAGTTTGACGTAGGATGGGACAACACAACCTTTTCCAATATTTGCCCCAGTGCTTTTGCCCATTGGCTGAGGCTGCGGCCCCTGAGCTAGAGGCTGCAGGGCCGGGGCCCAACAAACCCGACATATTAGCCATTATACAAACAGTAATTTCCTCAAAATATAAACACAATTGTTTCCCAATGCAGTGGAACACTCAACAAGTGCTTGCGAGGGGTACTGACCCAGGGAATCCCGGACGAGCCCCCAAAAATGTAACCCTTCTGCCCCTCTGAGTTGGCAGCAACAAGGGCCAGGTTCAGTATCTAGGGGTTCCGTTTCAATAACACAATGCAAAACTGGCTCGAGCCCCCACCCAGTGACCTGAGACAATTACATACCCCCCCCGGGTGCCCTAGGAGGCAATACTTCCCCTCTCGCAAGCACGGAGTCTGAGTGTAGCAAAAGCCTTTTAATAAAGGAGGGAAACAATGCGGCATCATGTTGGGGATACACCACAAACAGGATTCATAACACAAACCATGAGCAAAAGACCCACCTCCAAGTAAGTTTGGCAGTGTCCTTTTCCCCTCAGGGTCTTAAGTCCAGTCACCCCAAAGTCCAAAAGTCTCTGACCCTGGTCAGTGCTGCCCCAGAGTTCAAAAGTTTATCTGCAGAGTTTTACCCCCCCCCCCGAGTCTGGGTGGAAAGGGGGGGAGAGATACGGGGTGTTAAGGGGCACCTTACGTGGTCCAAGGCCGACTGCCCCACCTCTCCGTGGAGTTCTGCTGCAGCCTTCACCACAAACGGCTCCACTCTACCAGCCACTCCAGCCCGGTTCGGTCCTCCAGCTGTCCCCACAAACTGCTCCACTCTGCTCTGCACGCCGCTTAACAATATATCTTTAGGCTCCTCCACTAGTTAACACAGCACTCAGTGATCTTAGCTCAGTAATTTTAGCTCTTTTAGTGATTGCAGCTTGTAGTAGGGGAGCCCCAGTGCTGGTGCACCATTGACCCAAAGTGAATTCAGCTCAGCAGCCTCTAGCTAGACTCCTAATGAAATCAAAATTAGCTCTGCTATTCACCAGTGGAGAGAAGAGATACAATTGGTGTGCCAGGCCCATTTTGGGCGGCCGTGGGCTCATGCTAGGCAGGGTGGGTGTGCCTATGCAAACAAGATCAGCCTCTGAAGTTCTTTTCCACACTTGCCATAATTCACCACCAGATGTCAGGGTAGAGCTCATCCTGACTCTGCTTACATATAAAAGGGATAAATATTATTGGTTGTTCTCCTAGAACCTGAGGCGCCAGTGAAGCTGGAAAACATGGAGGAATCGACCAATCGGGTCGGCCTGGCACTGCAGCTGCCGGAGTCTGAGAACCAGAAGAGAGAGCGTAAGTCTGGTGAGAGGGGGTTTTATGTTCGCAGATGGGACCCAACCATTAAAGCTGGTCACAAACCGTAGCCCCTGCACTAGACAGCCCCAAACTTTGGGGAGATTCGAAATCCAAACCTGAATCCACAGTCCCACTTTGCAAGTGATCCAAATGGTTATTATAGGTCAGACCCAAACGCTGAGTAACAGTCCTGGCTCCAGGGATCAGCCCTTTACAGCATGGCCACTGTATCTTCCCACGTGTGCATAAATCACTGTCTCTGGCCAGCAGCATGGGGGGAGGGATAGCTCAGTGGTTTGAGCATTGGCCTGCTAAACCCAGGGTTGTGAGTTCAATTCTTGAGGGGGCCATTTGGGGATTTAGTTGGGGATTGGTCCTGCTTTGAGCAGGGGTTGGACTAGATGACCTCCTGAGGTCCCTTCAAACCCTGATATTCTATGATTCCTGAACATGAGGACTCCAGCTGCCAGGTGCAGGGCAAAACCAGTGGGAGACAACCCATTGCCTGGCTGGCGATTTCTGATCTTCCATGCAGGAGGCTAGACTAGTCCTTGGGTGCGGGAAGCTCACTGTGAAAGCGCCTACCCAGGGGACACCCTTAAGTCAGGGCCTGATTCAGAGATGCTGAGCACCGACAACACTCAGCACCTCTCGGGATCAGACCCTCCATATGACCACGGGGCTCTCTCTGAAGCCTCCTGCTTGGACCCCTGAACCCCTGCCTGAGGGGATGCAGCACAGCACTTTATAAACTCCCCACTCCCAACTCTTTGTCTGGGCATGCTATGGCACTCTGTCCAGGCCACACACTTTGACCCCTGGATGTGCATCCTCCGCCGAAGGCTGGAGCGGCCTGATGCTAGCATTTGTGTTTGCAGATGATAGCCAGAACTGCTCTACAAACCCCTGCAAAAATGGGGGGACCTGCGTCCCAGGTGTCAAGGTCTACCTCTGTGACTGCATCCCCGGCTTCAAGGGCAGACGCTGTGAACTAGGTGAGGCTACAGCTGCCCTGCTTCCCCCCCCCCCATCCCCTGGTCTCAGAGTGAGAGGCGGGAAGAGTCAATGCTAGGGCTGCAGCAATCAGTCACACCAGGGCTCAGGCCAGCAGGGAGCCCCTGTCCTGCAGGCTGGGGGGGTGCCAGAAGCAGCAGTACCAAGGCAGACCATGGCGTGTGGGGTCAGTAATGCCCAACAGCAGGCTAGAGGCCAGGAAGGGCCCTGGCGTAGTGTCTCCCGTGCCCACGTGACTGAGGACAGGCTGCCTTGGTGCCTGCTGGGCCAGAGGAAGACAGAATTCCACCCCTCAGGCTCCATCAGACTGAGCAGCCCCCAGCCCCCTCCCCTCTCCTCCAGAACGGCTCGGGGCCAGGGTCGTGAGGCTGCTGATGCCTGAGGGGAGAAGAGACTGTTCCCTGTTAGCACCCATTTGGGGGAGGGCACATTTGCGACCCAGCCTGCCACTCCCTCCCAGGGAAAAACTTGCTTGTATGCCCCTCCCCTGCTGTCTGGCACAGCCAGTCACTCCCCCACTGCCCCTGGAGCACTAGTGTCTGGGCTTTGCAGCAGCTGCTGCCTCCTGCCCTAGCTCTCCTAAGAGCAGGCAGCGGGAGCAGAGCCATCGCCCCTGAAATGCTCATCTCCGCTGTGAGAGGTGAGAGCAGCATTTCAGCAGAGGGGGAGGAAACCCGGGCCAAGACTAAGGGCAGGGACAGGAGCTGCTTTCTCTGTGCACAGTGGGGCCTGGTCCTATAGCTAGCCCTGTGTGCTGCTGGAGGGGTTAGTTCATCCCCCATGCTGGTGTGCACAGCCCAAGGAGCTAGAACTCCTGGAGATGGTGCCCATAAGAGCTGGGGCTAAGATTTTTCAAGAGTGACCAGTGACTTTGGGGATGGAGCCGGAGGCACCTCAGACGGGCCTGATTTTCAGAGCGGGCGCTCAGCCCATGCCAGAAGCCAGGCTTCCCTGAGTGCTCCAAGTCACGCACTGCTTTTGGAAACCTTCTGTCAAAGTACTGATGTGGTCCCTGTCCAGAAAGCATCCAGGCGCCTCCCATGTGGTAACAGCCATACCCTCCCAACGCCCTGGGAGGCGGGGCTGTGCTGGTGGCCCCACTGCAGATGGGAACCTGAGGCAGGCTGAAGCTGAAGTGACTTGTTCAATGTCACACACGGCATCTGTGGATGAGCTGGGATGGGAACTGAATGCGGGTGGGCCCCTTAATCCTGTGCTCTAGTCACTAGCTCCTCTTCCCTGCCCTTGGGTCCGAGGTCTTACTTGGATTCAGGGCTGGTGCAGTAATGGGGGGGGGGCGCACCTTGCGCCATCACCCCATCCAGCTACCCCCCCCCCACGCGGCAGCTAACCATATCCCCCTGCCCCTCCCCACCAGAGGAGCCCTCCCCCCGGCAGCTAACCCCGCCTCGGGAGCCCGTCCCCCCCTCACCCCCGCAGCAGCTACCCCCCCCCCACGCGGCAGCTAACCATATCCCCCTGCCCCTCCCCACCAGAGGAGCCCTCCCCCCGGCAGCTAACCCCGCCTCGGGAGCCCGTCC